AGTTTCCAATACCAATTACATCGCACGCCTATTTCTCTCTCTCTCTCTCTCTCTCTCTCTCTCTCTCTCTCTCTCTTTCTCTTTCTCTTTCTCTCTCTTTCTCTCTCTTTCTCTCTATTTACGTTATAGTGTGGCGATGATGGTGATGAGATACGTGTGTTCATATAGCATCAACGTGTTAAAACATAATCTTTCTTTGTTTTGAAATCAAAATAATTGGACAGTTTTATGGATTTGTTTCCTTTTCTTGTGTTAGTGTACCTACATATATACACATAACTATGCTCGTATTAGACATAACCACATTCAAGGTTAAACCTTTAATTATATATTGCCACGAAGGGCAAGTGATATGTCTGTAATTGTACTTAAATGAATATGTATTCCGTAGGATTTGCGAAAACTGCGACAAATAATCGACCGAAAAAACAAAAACAAACAAAAAACAAACAAAAAAGAAACTCTTTTTGCAGTTCACGGCCAACTCGAGATCCATTTTGCTAAACTGCTTGGTTTCTTTAAACTCATTAAATTGACTTATCTTTCAATTGATGAATATCGCTTGACTATACCTTTTTTTAATTTCTGTATGTTCTTTAACCACGATAAACTTTCCCCGATTTGTGGAAATTGTTTGTTGTTACAATTTAAGCCGCTTCGTACACATCAAAGAATTGTCCAGTCCGTGAAACTGCAAAACCTATGCGCAATTACACGCCGAAACACCGATTTCACTAAGCTCTAGCTAAGTCTCTTTCTTCTCACGGTTACAGCTAGGCATAGACATTCATAATGATCCGTTTGGTGGGAAAATACAAAAAAAATGATGAAACAAAAGAAAAAACAAAAGACAGGATAATTCCAAGTCCGCACATATTTAATATACCCTTTTGTCGCAGTTGATGCACGGGACCATCCCCTCGTATCTCGAAAAAGCCTACACTTAAAAATAAGGTCCACTTTTTCATATTAGCGATTTTATATATATATATATATATATATTTTCATTTTATTTTAGACTACATATGTCCGTTTCTCATACTCTTCCTTTTATATATACGTTAGCGTTCACCTAAAGAGTAAGCCTTAATATGGCAACAAGGTGTAATTTTTCATATTTTATGATAAACAGTATTCTGCGAAAAGCTGTAGGGCGCTTGATCGCCCGGTCTTGATCGATTTCGATTATAGATAGAAGAAGAAGAAGAAAAACAACAAGTAAAAGTGGTATAGCAACGATCGCGAGTCACAATTAAGTACCCTATACCACTTTGCTTAATACAGTTACTTACGTAAGGAATTTCTTGAAATAATGGCAAGTGATTGAAAAAAATTGTCCGCGATCTGACCCATTACCAATACAGTTCGTATTTCATTCGTTCATCAAAATATCTCAAAAATTACGAGCCGTGAGTTGAAAGCAGAAAAAAAATTTTGGACAGACAGACACATAAGCTTAAATCGAATCGAAATGTAATTTTCAATAATAAAAGACGAGTCTATCTGAAGTTTTTATGCCTTTTGACCCTTCTGTTACATACGATGTAGGGTATAACGGAAAAATTTATATTATGTGTCTTGTTTCTTATCTTCTTTTATTTCATATATAATGTATGTCAGTAATCTCGAATTAGATTTCATAAGCCATCTAAAGATTTTGCTAATTCCTCTTTAAGCATGAAGAGAAAAATATTTACTTATATTGTCTATTAATGAGGAGAAACCATGTTAATGAAAGCGCAATAAGAAAAATCGATAATTGAGCAATAAATTTAGTTAAAAGCTCGCTTAAGTGTAGAGTGCTTATTTTTAAATTTACATTTTATGTATATATTTTTTTAATTAAGTCAAAAAAAAGTCAAACAGCCTTAATTGCATCATCTACATAACTGTTCATAATTGTAATGAAATGTTTGCTCAATACGAACATTATTAGAAAACAATTATTTCGATGAAAATTATCGTTCTTCGCTTAATCAAAAATTAACAGTTATTGTTACATAAAAAGACCAGTACCAACAGAAATTACTAAAAATTAAATGTTGCTATCGTGTAAACGGTTAATCTTTCTAATAACATTTATATCCCATCCCCTTATGAAATTGAAGCTGTGAAAAATATTATTTTATATCGCTTCTTACCGATATATATATATATATATATATATATTATAATAAAATTGGCAAATTTTTTCAAATTAAAAGTACAAATTAGTTCGGCTCGGTTAGGTAAGAGAAATTGTAATTAAAAGGACTGTAGTTTAAATTAGTAGCAAAGTTTATTTGCTCTGAGTAGTACAAAGGATAGCGCGGCTAAATCCTTACGAGTGATGAGCAGTGGAGTTGCTACAACAACGAAAGCCTAAAGAAGCATGGCAGAGTCAATAGTCCCATTTGAGGGGGGCATGAGCTGGTGAGGATGATATCTTAAAAAGTGAAAGTGCACGTAAGGCATACGACATCCGACAATTGATGTCATTTAAGCCAAAAGGTAGTCGCAATATACCAAAAGTCATAAATATCGCGAGCTTTTAATATGAAGGATTTCCACTTCGTATAGCAAAGCTTGCTCAATAAATGTTTACAGCTTCAATTTAGTATACTTTACTCGAAATTTAAAAAAAACAATTCTTTAACTTATGTGCACGAATCGACCTTACATGGGCGAAGTTGTTGTGTATGAGCAAAATATCTTTAAAAAAAAACCTCAAGGCAGAAGAATTTTTCAATATTATTGCGAGATTAAATCAAAACTTTATTTACCAAATTTATTCTATCCCGCATTAAATATATGAAGTTGTCTGAAAAAAAGTATCACTAATCAAATGAAAATATTGTCAAATAAAAGTATTTCAAGAATTTATTTTACCATAAACTTGCTATTATGTAAGATATCGAGAGAAAAGCAAGGGGAATATCAGTATACAGTTAATCCGAAAATGATAATAATCATCGTGATTTTTCTATTTGTGAACAGCACAATATCTTATTATAAATATTAGATACTAAGAGTTAGACGTTATTACTACACTGTAGCTTTTTTTATGTGAATAATTATATGGGAGGATATTAAAAAAAAAAAAAAAAAAAAAAAAAAAACCTCATGCAATCCAAATTTTTCACATCCATATTTAACAAAACATTTATTTTTCGTAGATTTTGTCCAAACAGTTCTTTGTATGGACAGTGGTCATAAAAATGGCGCGATCCTATCCATTTTCTATAGCGTTCAACGTTGAGCTTAAACATGAAAACTGCAATCTGTATATTGTTGAATACAAAAATTCATTGCAATACATAAGACAGACGGACAGACATGTCTAAATCGATTCAGAAAATCATGCTAAATCATTTCATATACATAAATGACACATCGGTGGGATAATACAAAATTTATTTATATATTTATAGGCAGTTTAAATATCACGAACATTTTCTAAAGAAAAGTTCGATAATAAACTTTCAAAGGAATTTTAAAGGAATTAAAGAAAAATGCTTCTCATCAGGATCCAGAAGAAAAGAACTTTCAAGATTCTGTCTTGTGCTTACCTTGTGTGCAATAAGCAAAGAACATGAAAAAAAATGAAAAAAATTTAAATTTAATCACTTTGAACTATGTGAGGGCGTGACAGGTTTGACCAAATTTCAATAACAACCTATGGACAAGAATTTCCAATCTTTCTGTCAAATTTTAAGCCGCTTCCGGCAGTTTTGCGACTAACGGAGTGTTTACCGCAGAGATTACACAAACAGACAGACGGACAGACAGACAGATATTAAATCGCCTTAAAATTTGATTGTAATCAAGAATATCATTACTTTATGCGGTATCTAAGATTTCCTTCGACCAGCAGGATGTTCGCCATAGACATTACACAGACAAACGAATAGACAGACATGCTTACATCGATATAGAATTTGATTCTTATCAAGAGTATATATATGTTCTCGGGTTCTTGAAGCTTCCATCTGGGTGTTGCAAATGTTTTGACAAAATGAATATATAGCTCATCCTTAGGCGATAGGTATAATAAAACTGTGTTCATTATGAGTTCATCATATCTTTTGCTCTCTATTGTACGCCAGGACGTATCGGATCAAATACGCAAAAAAAAAAAAAAATTCGAAAGTTATTCATAATAAGATACTGTAGATATCGTAAAATTTAAACCAAGATATATATGAAAAGTTTGGTTTTTCATTACCGAGCACAGAAAGTTTTAATTACGAAAAACCATAAGCAATCTATAAAAATGAAGCTGAAATTAATATTGAAAATGCACATTGCTCGCGAAATAGCAACGCATACTAACACACCAGTCTTTTCCCGAAGGTGATCTTGAAAGTATCTGAACGGATGGGACCAAAATCAGTTGACTATGCAATCCAATAATTATGATAATAATCACATCTCTGTTCACATAGCAATGTATATTAGAAATTGATGCATAATTAGTCATCAAAGAGAATTGCTTGAAGAAAGACAGTTTCGGAAATTAAATCAATAAAAAATCGCATAATACTCAAAAGTATGCTACAATCAAATATGTAATCGAAAATTGGAATTTTCGGAACCAGAGATTTAACTAAAGATACTTAAGTTTCGCGAAAATCAAAAGAGCGGAAAGTAGGGCCTGTTGAAGGGGCTTTACAATTGCCTTTCATGTAATTGGCAAACAACTGCGACTTTTGCATTGTTTTTTTTTTTTTTTTTTTCTAGGAAAACCTGTCGCTGTTGGCTCTTGAAACCTACCATCTTCAACTGAATACAGTAATCACAAAAATAAATATATATAGTAAAAGAAAAGATATATATATCATTTAAATTAAATTTTTTTTTTTTATTATTATTATTATTTCTTTTCTCTTTTTATTACATTTTATGATTCTTATTCAATATGCTTATAAATCTATTAAAAAAATAAACATTTTATGAACTTACACCAATAAAGTTAAGCTGTAGTTGTTACGAATAAACTAAATAAAAGACAATGTCAATCATTTCAATTATGAAAACAAAACTTTTTATCAATATGCCTATTATTTCATCATTACATTATCTTGAGGTTACTAACAATACTGCAAAATAGTTAACGCATCATCGCTTACGAATAGGGGGTACGAGGGTTGACATTAATCATTTCCGCATTACTGCAAAAGAGAACGACATTTTTATTTATTGAAAATATTTATTGAAAATAAGCAAAAAAAAGCTATTCGATTTTTCGGAAAGTCATTTCGTTTTTTTTTTTTTCTATTTCTTCTGCTCAAAATGAAAGAGTATTTTTTTATTGTAGATAAATATATTATTATGAACGGTCGAATTCGATAAATATAATCTCTTAATGATCTTACGAATGATTATGCGTCGGTTTGCATCAGTCAATCCCTTTATTTTGTCTTCATCAGCTACAACTGATCTTCTTGAGCATAATAGATCATCAATATCAAAATTATCGGTTTTGTGCACCGGCTTTCTGTCAAAACATCTTCTTCATACACATCGGATTTTTCGGCATTTTTATATTCTTGACAATAAAAAAGTAAAATATGCTTTCCATTTTCCGTAGTTGAAAAGTCACCAACCAAAGATTACTGCGTAGAATGAGTTCAACTTTTTAACAAGCAAGTCTTACTACTATACTGTCTTACTACTATACAAGTCTTACTTACTATATTGGCTGTTAAAATACGAAATAATGAAAATTCGACTGTAGTATCAAGTAAAAAAAAAAAAAAAAAAAAGTAATGACTTTCCGACCAACCCACTATATTCATCTTGTAAAGATTCTCGCTTAAACGGATCTTATCTATACTGTCTCAACATGTAAATATAAATCAATGTCGACTATGTCTATGCGTTGGACATGTTGACCAAAATGTTAATTGTTGCCGGCGTCATATCAAGGTGTTAAATTTATATCGCAAATTTTTTGAACTTTGAAAGTGTGTAATCGTTTGAGTTCTCCTAGTTTATAAAATCCTTGTTTCATATTATGTTACCCAGGCAACATATTGCTAATTTGCGGTATGTCTAACAAAATATGGCGCACTGTTCGAATGCACGAGAACAATTTCCAAGTATATAGTATTGATACTAACCTTTTGCTGCATTTAAGATGTATGACAAGTAAAGCTATACCCAAGATAAGACAAATACAACCAACAACTATGTAGGCAATGCCAAGGAATGGATTTTTTCCGCCTAAAATCGAAGTGGTCGATAGGATCATTTTTTTATTTCCATCAAAAGCCGAGACAGGATATTCTATAAAGATTGAAGAAAGTTTAAAACATTGCTTCAAGAGGCCTTTGTGAACATACGATAATTAACATGCAACGTGTATTCGCCTTTTGGCAAGCCATCCTCGTATGATCTTTGCGAATGATCGATGCGTCGATACAATTTGCGAAAACTAGGCAAAGCCGCTGTACGCATCCAGACAATTAGATCCTCATTCTAAAAGTTGAAATTTCAGTCAACAATATTTTAAAGAGATTTATTTCGATTACTTCAAATCCGTTATTGGTTGGATTGCTTTCATCCAACTGATACAAGGCTTTGCTCCAAAATTTCGGTTTAGCAAATCCCTTTAAAGCTACCGTTAAATTGCCTTCAGGATTTCGAAATTTATGCTTTTTATCTGATGGCCAAGCTATACCGGTATTTAATAAAGGCACACTTTTAGTGCCTCTTGACAAAGTTAAAGTATCTGAAAAGATTTTTCGAAAGAAAGGTTTTTTTTTTTTAATCCACTTCAATTTTCATCATAAATTACCATTGAATAGAGAATTAGCTATAGCACCACATGGAGCAATAGGTATTTGTTCATCGGTGTATGCAAACGGTACACAATCTGTCGACGGTGTATCTGATAAGCGACCCAACAACTGATCATCATCACGTGATTTAACATAACGGCGATGGTTTTGATAATAATTACTTAAACCATAGTACATGAAAACATTGCCCTAAAAATTATTTTTATGAAATAGTAGCCATTTTTTAATTGTACAGTTTCGCATGAGTATTCTTCATACCACGAAATTATTTTCAAGCGTGAATGGTATTTCGCACATACACGATGTACCCGTATGGTTTGCAATATAGCTCGAGCAAGTGAGATTTTTTTCTCCCTGTTTTATGCAGTTAGTGTAATCAATGACATACTCGCTGACCTCATCCGAAAAATAAAGCAAAGCTACTCCCACTGGTATAAAAAGGATACCGATAATAAAAAAGGTAGGTAAAACAGTCCCAGCTGTTAAAACAGGCTGCCAGGCGGGCAGACGTTGTTGCTTAAAAGCCGAATCTAACAATAAAAAAAATAATAAAAAAAAAAAAAAAATGTTAAAAAGGCTTACAATTGAAAATCGATGAACTTATTTGATTTCTCAAACACCTTCAACCTCACTTAAGTAAAACTTTCAGAACACTTAATTTATTTATAACTTATGAAAATATATTGTACAGTGGCTTAAGAAACACTTACCAGAAGGGCGTTTTGATTTTTGTTGTAAACCCTGTGTATCCGCAGGTTGCGAGGCCATTGTCTTTAAGGCTTTTTATCTTAATTCACTTTATTAATTAATTACTCTCTCATAATGTCATTAAGAAAACTTCCTTTTCATTTCTTGTCCGAGATGTGAATCACAACACTTCTCAGGTTGCCACCTTTTTCATTTTAGGAATACGATAGAAACGAACTATTATATTTCTAGTATGGCAACTATAATATCATAAATAATGAAGTCTTCAGGAAAATAATAAACATTGTAAAAAAAATACTTAAAATCGTTATATACGAATTTTAATAAACTACGTCTGTTCTTTACATTCTGTGCTTCAGTTATTGAAAGTAAAATTGCTAACTTTTATATAATTAAATTGAAAATATAGCGGAAAATATGTAATATTTTTTCTAATTACATCAAAACCATAAAACAATTGGCACTAAAAAGTGTATCCCCAACACTTTCGTTAGTCCTAACTGATCCTCCTAGTAGTAATGCTTACACTTTCATTTAATTCATAACAATAATTGAATTAAAGAGAAACCACCACTCGCCCCCTTCAACGGTTAATGTTCAAATCCTGCTTGCCACTTTCAATAAATATTGGCAAAGACACAATAAGGCCGCGGTTATATTTTCGGGTCTGACGTCGAAATTAAGATATTCATTTTATAGATTTAATAATTTTGCAAATTATATACATATAAAATAAATGTATATAAATATGAATAATATAAAAAAATTTTATAAAGTTATAAATTAATTTTTCCCTTAGGCCTAGGAATATAACGACCATTGCGGTAACTTTCTCTTGACTGTGTCCGAAAAGTAAGAACAATTTAATGTTTCCTATTCCAAATCTATTTCATAGTCTTTAAAGTAATCTCTCTCAGATACAATCCGCTTATACCAACGTATTTTCCTCTCCTCGAAGTACAATCAATTACCGGAATGATCTTGAAAGCTCTCTTCTATTCAGCATGTATATCTCCAATCGCGTTGAAAAAGTACCTCCGGAGCGACCTTTCGAGTTCAGGAAACACGCAGAAGTCATATGGAGTTAAAAAGGGTTACGATACGGGTTGAATTTTTAAAAAAATGGTATCGAAGAGCCAATGCCGTGTAAGATCATTGAAGATTAACGCCTTTTACGATTTAAACTTGGACACAGGTGTCTGCCATAGTGCTACCAATTCAGAAAAGAGAAAAATTTCCGATATTCGATATATCCGCTTAAATCGACTTCAATATGTATCTTGCTTTTTGAACACATTATTAGTTCTTCTTCAATCATTAATTTTAAAATTCCTGAAAACTCTTAGAAATAGAAATAGAAGAATACACGTCTACCGCTAGATTCATGTGATAGAGGTAGATGTCACATTTCCTAATTTGGCCGCACCAGAGTCTCAAATTCATATCAAATTTCAAAAAACCGTTAAAACTAATTTCCGAAAGAAAAGTTTTAACTTTCTTTGCTCATTCGATGGGTACTTTTATATAGATTCACTTAATATAGGTGAATATAGGTGACATTTTCTTGTTTCGCCGCACCAGAGTGTCAAATTTGAATGTTCTTCCATACCTATTATTCGCTAACATATCAAATTTCAAAAAATTGGTTCCCATAAGCAGAATTTGAATTTGTTTAGTGTGCTCGAAAGGTATTTTCATGTAGATTCATGAAAAGTCCACAAAAATACTTTACTGTTTTTAATATGGACATAGTAGGCTTTCAAATCCAACTATACTTTAATTTTAATTATTGAATAGAGCTCTGTTAAGGCGTTACAGAGCTATGTTAGCAGATGTGGTAGGTGTCTTCGCTAGTCAAATTCGAATTTATCTTCGCATACTTATAATTATATACATTGTACTTATAAATTGTTATAAAAGAGATTATAATCGCTAGTAACAAAGTGCAACGTTCCTCATTACAAGCGTAGAATTTCAAAGTGCCTTCTCGGTTTTCTATCCACACTTTATTTTTAAATAAATCAAACTCAGTGGAGCTTCTAATTTTATTAATCGTCCAAACTATTTCATTTTAAGCTTCCTGGCTCCAATATATCTGCTAATAATCTGTCTCTTTGTTTTTCATGTCTTTTTCGATGCGAATATAAACCTGAATTATTGGCAAACTTTTTTCCACACTCTAAGCACTGATATGTTTTCTCCTTGTGAATAGTAAGATGACCTTTTAAAACATATATATCTTTGAAAGCTGCTTTACAGATAGTGCAAACATGAGTGCGCGGCTTCTCTGTGTGCATGTTTGCTTGATGTAATCTTAACTGACTTGGTCTATTAAAACTTTTGTCGCATTTCCCACATATAAAATTTCGCTCTTTTAAATGCTGGCTACTGCGATGACTTAGTAAGCCCGACGAGAAAGGAAAACTTTTGCCACAAAACTCACAAATAAAAGGTCGCTCGCCGGTATGACTGCGTTCATGACATCTTTGTTGCTTGGCGGAGGAAAAACTATTTGAACAAAACTGGCACACGAATGGTCTTTCGCCATCATGGCGCTTCTCATGAGCTCTAAGATTCGATTTGCAGGCAAACGACGCCGAGCAATGTCTGCATTTATACGGCTTCAGTCCATTGTGTATATGTAAATGTTCTTTTAAATCCCAAGCTTTCTTGAATACTTTAGAACATTGAGGACAATTGTGTTCGCCACGTTTACGCCATATGAATGGTATTTCACCCTTATGACGCTTCTCGTGAACTTTAAGGCCTGATTTCCATACAAAGGATGCTGGGCAGTGCTCGCATTTATAAGGCTTCATGGCATCATGTATGGGCAAATGCTGCTTTAAATTCCAGGTTCTTTTAAACACTTTAGAGCAATGGGGACAAATGTGCTCTTGACGTTGGCGATTTTCAAACGACAGTTTAGAATGTACACTAGTTTTCTCATTTTTATCTGGCAATATTACTTTGGAGTCATGATCACTAATCATTTCCCTTTCAACACTTTCCAAGTTGGATTCCAATTGGGAAATCGAATCTTCGTCTTTATCTGATAAGTATTGGCTAACATCTCCTTCCTCCGCAAACGTAATTTTTTCTGCTTTTTCCTGTTCTTCTATATCGCTTAATTTTACAGCTGTGGACGATTTGTAATGTTGGGTTTCGAAATGTTCTAGGAACGCATCTAGTTTTGTAAATGCTTTCTGACAAAAGGTGCACTGAAAACTCACATTTACATCTGAAACCATCAAACTATCGTAGAAAATTTCTCCGCATTTTTGCAAAGCCATCTCGCCACCCTTCAATTCTTCAAACTTTTTAATATTTTAATACGTTTGTTAAATATATTTTAACATAAACCCTTGGTTTGATTCTCTTTTTTAATCTTCCATGGCCGTTCGCACATAAATACATTCATTCTCAAATTAGTTTTTTGCTGAAAATTAAATAAGAAAAAAGTATTTCCATATGTTCAGCGTTGCAAAATGCCGTACGCCTTTTATTTTCCTTATATTTTGTAGGATTGTTTCTTTTTTTTGGATATTAAGTTTAAATTGACTAGGAAATGTGGTTTATATGAAGTCCATAATTCTTTGCAAATTGGTAACAAATAGTTCACAAAGATTTGGATTTAAACTCAAAACTTAATATAACACTTCTCAACAATGTATGAATTTTAATAAACAATTTTTCAAATCTTACTTTTAAATTATTCCAATGTAAGAGAAAGAGAACTTCGAGTTTTAATAATGCAATAATCACTTTCCGTAATTTTTTCTTTTATTAAATTTCGCATTTATTCAACCACTAAAGTCCAAACGGTTTGCAATTGTTTATACGCTATTCAAGTTGGAGATGAAGGATTTCTCCAAAGAATTTAAGCCGAATTCTCTGCTGTATTAATGGGTTTCTAGAAAGCCACGTTTACATAAAAATATTAAAAATTAATTGTACTTCAACGATACAATTGTTTACAATTACATGCTTTAGTACTATTTGATAATACCTTGCCCCAAACAGAGAAATATGACCTTCATATCTGTCACCGGTTTTACCTACCAAGTTATGGTGCATGGAGGCAAGATGTAACGCTGAGTTGTCAATGTAAAATTTCAAAGTACTTTTCGGTTTTCGATCAACATCTTATTTTGAAACTGTTTCATCTTAAGCCCCCTTGTTCCAATATATCTGCTAATAATCTGACTCTTTGTTTTTCATGTCTTTTTCGATGGGAATATAAACCGGAATTATTGGCAAACTTTTTGCCGCACTCTAAACATTGATAAGTTTTTTCTTTGTGAATAGTAAGGTGACATTTTAAAACACAGATATCTTTAAAAGCCGCTTTACAGATCGTGCAAACATGAGTGCGCGGCTTTTCCGTGTGCATGTTTGCTTGATGTAATCTTAATTGACTACGTCTGTTAAAGCGTTTATCACATTTGCCACAGATAAAATTGCGTTCCTTTAAATGCTGACTACTACGATGGCTCTGTAAGCCCGACGAGGAAGAAAAACTTTTACCACAGAATTCACAAACAAAAGGTCGCTCGCCGGTATGACTACGTTCATGCAATCTTCTTTGCTTGGCGGAGAGAAAAGTATTTGTACAAAACTGGCACATGAAGGGTCTCTCACCATCATGGCGCTTCTCATGAGCTCTAAGATTTGATTTGCAAGCGAAGGAAACCGAGCAGTGTTCGCATTTATACGGCTTCAGCCCATCGTGTATATGTAAATGTTCTTTTAAATCCCAAGCTTTCTTGAATACTTTAGAACATTGAGGACAATTGTGTTCCCCACGTTTACGCCATATAAATGGTTTTTCACCTTTGTGACGCTTCTCGTGAACTCTAAGACCCGATTTCCAAGCAAATGAAGCTGGGCAGTGCTCACATTTATAAGGTTTCAGTCCATCGTGTATGTGCAAATGTTGCTTCAAATCCCAACTTCTTTTAAATACTTTACAGCAATGGGGGCAATTGTGCTCCCCACGTTTACTATTTTCAGCCTGTGGCTTAGAATGGGCAACAGTTTTCTCATTATTATCTGGTAATAGTACATTGGAGTCATGATCACTAATCATCTCTCCTTCAGCATTTTCCAGGATGAATTCTATTTGGGAAATCGAATCTTCATCTTTATCTGCTAAATTGACATCCTCTTCTTCTGTAAGCAAAATTTCTTTCTCTTCTTCAACATCTTCAAAATCACTCAACAAAGAAAACTCTTCTAGAGGGGTGGACACTTTGCAATGGTTGCTTTGAAAATGCTCTAGGAACGCATCTAGTTTCGTAAAAGTTTTCTGACAAAAAATGCACTGAAAACTCACATTTACATCTGGAACCGTCAGAGTATCATAAAATATTTCTCCACATTTTTGTAAAAGCACCTTGCTACTCTCCAATTCTTCAAATTCTCCCATTTTTTTCTCCGTTTATTAAATATCTTTAGTTTCTTTTTGGATATGAATTGAGTTTGTTAAATATATTTTAATATAAATTAGTTTAAATCTTTGTTTTCGTTCTCTTCGGATACTCTTCCCACGACTATGTATAGATAAACGCAACATTCTCAAATTACTCTTCTTCTTCTTCTATTCAGTAAATCAACAAACGAACATTCGCTGCGATGTCCAAAAAAAGGCCCAATGTAAACACAGAGTTCTTTGTTTGAGCCTTAGTAAAATAGTTAGTTAGGGTCAGTTTTCGTATATAATTATTATTTTTACTTATTTTTTTTATTATTTCTTTGCATTTCGTAATTAAAGCTATAATTGATTAACGTTTTGCTAATTTTGCGTATTATACGTCCGCTACGTTATTTCTTTAAATTTTATTAAAATATGCATATTATTCGTCTGCCATCTAGGATAGAACAGCGAGTGGTAAATTTCGTAGTGTAAGACATGAACATAAAGTGTCATATGAAAGAACTGATAAATGCGAGAGCAAAAAAATATATAAAAGAGAGTAGATTCATAATTTGGTTGCAAATGCTTATATATCTTGATGACATGATTTGAAAAAAGTAAGTTGCTAAATTGTAAGAACGCAAAATGTCAAGAATGCTGCGGTCATGCAGACCAGATATATCCAATTTGCGAAGTGTGGAATAGCGAATAAAAGTGGCAATATTATATGATCACCAAATTGTAAGGCCTTGCATTTTCATAAAGTATTATTCGCTATATTAATTTTAAATAGATGATCATTACATCTTGTGTGATTAAATATCAGCCTGTAAATAAGGCAAATAATGTTACGTCTGAGTCCGCAATTAATAAACCAAGGAGCTTTTTTTTGTGGAAATAAAGAGTTTAAAGGTGAATTAATCCATCGCTGTTGCCAAGAAGAACTGAGCGTTTCTTGTCGATTGCCGCAAAATCTGCTGAAATCAGAGCACGATCATTAAAATGAGATAGTCTGGGAGATGCCCAACTAAATCTGAACAGTCTGGGAGAACAAATTAGTGACATATACAAGTGAGGAGTCTATTCTCCGAAACCACAAAGGAGCAGACGGTTGGAAAATCTTGTTCTCTATAAAAGTGCAAATACGTTTCAAAGTAATTTTAGCTTCTCCATGTTTATCTAATATTGAAACGTGTAGATTCTTTATAAAGTTTTACCATCTTGAAGGCCCAAAACCATTGCATCCGATGCTACACAAGTTATCTTGACAAGTGATAACGAAAAAGAGAAAATTTATAAGTTAGTGAACTGCAGTTACGCCATCTGTGGATCAGTATGAGCTCATGCTCTGTTTTTACGTTACACGAATATCCCAATGTATATTTACCCGATCCATCTATCTGTAAAACAGCATTCAAATGATTAACTTGACCTTAACCTACGAACATTCGCTTTAATGATAGTCTGCCGCAACTTTTAATAATTTGTGGAACTAGAATTATTTCTTTTTTAACATTGAAAGATTCCATTTACCATAATACAGCCAAAAAAAGTATAACTCCAGATCTGTGCCATATGTCGTCAAAAATTACAAATATATCCCAAGTTAAATATTTATTATGTCGGAGTAGAATTTTTCAGTGAATTTAATTCGTGAATGGTCTGATGGTTTGCGGATATTTTACTTTAGTTTACTTTAATTTATTAATTAAAAATAAACGTTAGAGAAGTACTCATTTAAAAATTATAAGGAGTTATAAGTTATACAAGGATGGGCAAAATTTATTATAAAGCAACATATAGGAGACTGATGCTGAAATTTTCCCTTAAAATATTTACGAAAGGAAAACTATGTATAGATTGGCTACCTATTATGGCGTCGGGATTACGGTAAGCTATTAGACGTGTAGTTTATATTCATTCTTGCATCTACATGTCGCATAAAAGCAAAATGACACAAAAACCGGGCGAATGTACGTAAGTAAATTCACATAAGTTAAGAATAATATTGATTCTTATATGACCATAATTACTATGTGCGCTACGTTAATACTGAGACGATCTCAATTGTCAACAATGTGAATGTATATCCGATGAGACTAAAACATTATACGGACCAAGTATAAAACTATAGAAGAATCGATATTACTAATTGATGTTATCTATTGCTGCTGAAACTAGGTATAAGTCAGTTAATGAGAACAAGCTTTATGCAATCATTGACACAGTACGACGTTATATGACTTGTGACTTTAGTGGCAGCGAGACTGCTATTTATATCCTATAAGCCCAAATATATGATACTTTATTAAAGTCTAACGATGATAGTTAAACGTTTTAATCGCCTCTAATTAGTAGAATTAGTGCAAAATGCTTGGTAACGTGCCTTTGTAATCCTAATAGAAACAACTTTACGGATATTTTTTTTTTCTTTTTGTACTAGATAAGCTTTCCGGCTTATATTAGAATGTATTATTAGGTGGTGATTGAAATGTAGATATACACCTGAATAGTTAATTTGTTGAACGCTTGTGTGATTCGATGCTATCCTCATGGCAAAACTTATCTAATATGTCCCATCTGTTATCATCCGAATTATAAATCTATACTCTTTCATCTCCTATAATTCTCTGATCTGTTCTATTTTCCACGCTACAATCATTCCCGTATGGATCGTCGATACGATCGTGAAATGACATTTCCCGCTTACACGATACAATTTGTTTATGGTAATCAAATGTCGATATGCCTTAGCTACGGGGGTGTATAATAAATCGTCAACTCGAAAACTGAATACTTATCTTTCATCCGAAGTTCTTTGAAAATGTGTATAATAAATAATTCCTAATGTCGAATTAACTTCGGATTTATTTGCTCCATGCATCTGATGAATAGATTCTGATGAATAGCTTATTCTATGGACAGATTAGTACGCTCCGCAGCTATCACAACAAAGACAGTCCGAAAACATTGTGGACCGTCCAAAGACTAATGTTGTTGGTCGCGAAAATGGTTGTCTTCCAAAGTTTGCCCTAACGATTGGCTCATGTTCGGAATTACGTATTACTTGCACTTTTCTTTAATATTGAGAATTAGATATCATAAACACCCGGGGATAAGCGAGAAAAAGAGTTGCACTTATTTCCTGCGAAGACTTATATTTTTGTTAGTATTTTGTCTGCTCTATATAAACCGATTAAATTGAATTACATCGGCAATCTTCAAATTCACTTCATCTCGTGTCTAGCGTTAAAATTTGTTTGCGCATGAGATATAAAAACTAAGAAACAATGGAAAATTAACCGAGAAGTAAAACCTATAAGAAAAGTGTACAAAACTAGTAGTAAAACCAACATCGTTGGTGTATGGTTTTCATAGGCGAATTAATTTTCTTTATTATATTGTTGTGTGTATGTGTATGTGGATGTGTGTGTTTGTAACATTATTGCTTTTTATATCATATAAATTGTGAAAAATTTGCTGTATTAATTTCTTTGTCTGATTTTAAAGCAGTAAACTTATAAATGTCTACAAAATTATTGTACAATTATTGTTAGGAAAAAAAAAAAAAAAAATAGAGCCATGTAAAGTGTAATTTTAATTTTAGGGGAAAAAAATTCCTATATACTACTAAATTCCTATGTGCTACTTCTGCACGTAATTATTAAGGAAGGAAGGGAGAATAAGCAACAGAAAGTATACGTTTTATATATATATGCATATATAAATTATATATATATATATATATATATGCATATATACATTAAACTCTTTAACACAAAACAATAACAACGGCTAGCAAGTTACAGTAAGCTGAAAAAAAGAAGCAAAACAATAACAACAGACGTCGTAATTGCAAAAATCAGCTGTCTCTCTTCGCTCTCTGCCTCTCTTTTTCTGCTTGCTGCAAATATATCTTAAAGCAGTGCTTTTATATAAATAAATGCAATTAGTATAGAAGGCTGCCAAGTCAGCTGGAATTATAATAAATACTTTATTACAATATGAAGCAAGAAATTTAAAGTGAAATACGCAATGGGGATAAACATAAAAGAGAACAGATAAAATTTCCTGAACATTATTGGATATAACTCTCTGCTTAAAACGAAAGCGAAATTTTATTTTTTTGAACGTAAAAAAAAAGATCTAAGAATATATATATATATTAATTGTTTACATTTTTGGAAATCTTTGGAATTCTTTGTTCTCTGCAATATGAATGCTTAATACATCGTATATCGTTCCAAAAATTATTTTTCAAAAAACCAAATTTAAATCTGAAAATAAATAAACAATTTTAAATTGTTATAAATGTATAAGAAATAATAAGAAATAAGATAAAAAAAAACAATAATAAAAACAAAACCTATATATATATATATATATGTATATATGTATATATATATATGTATATGAATAACTTGAAAGTAAGCTAAAATAATGCCGTTTATATCAAAAGATTGGCGCTCCCCAGGTGAAGCTTGGGTCAAAACCGAAGAAGGCTGGGAAAGACTTAAGGTGCTTGAATGCGGTAAACGTAAGCGACTTCCATCCACTAATGACGATAATTATGATGACAACGTGGAAATCATACCACCACACTGCCACATTACCATTAGATGTACACGAGAGATAGCCGGTTTTAATGGTCTCGGTGATGCTGTACGTCGTTTAGATTTCCGAAGTTCGGTACGAGATCGTAGACGTTTTCATTACATATGCACACTCTTACGTCTATTGGTGGCGCATAAAGGTATTGCTAGTTTATCAGGCAGCGCACAGAAACAATTATTGCAAATGGTTGAAGAAGTAGCGGCACATGTTAGTGATAGTCAACAGCATTTGAATGTCTTGCGAGGCTTAGCTTTACAATTGCAACATATTGTCTATCAAGAAAATCAGAAATGCTGGGGTAAACCTTTGGGTAGCACAAATCTATGGCAAGAACATGTGGAAACAATTAAACGCATACAACGTGTCGCTAATCAAATTGAAATTAAAGAGCCTGGTCCAGAAATACGTCCTAAGCTACATGATTTGCCAGAAGAGTGCGTAAGGGAGATAATCTTGCGTATAGCCGATCATAGAGATTTAGAAGCTTCTGCTGATGCTTGGAAAATAATGGCGACTTTGGTCAATGAGCAGCGCATTTGGCGTGAATTGACACGTTTTCATTTCAATCAAAAGCAAATCGATTCTATCTTGGAATTAAATAAATTGAAACATATGACTGAAGTCAAAGATTGGAAGAAAATCTATCATCAACTACGTCGTACCTACGGTCTCAGTGATGATTATCAATTTGCTGAGATTCTATCACTATGCCGCTACTGTTGCTGCCTATTTTGGCCTTCTGATGGCCATCCTTGTATTGTCGATCAAAGCCCCGACTATAAGCAACGACTGGAAGAGGCTGGTGGACAATTAGCTCTAGCTCAACCGGTGCCACCAGCACAATTCCTTAAATTTTTCTCTTTATAAACAATTTCATTCGCAGATTTTTTTTTCAAATTTATGTAATTTGAACTAAATTAAAAAAAAAAAAATGAAAAACAACAAAAAAAATCTAAAAGTTTGCTTTCACCATTTTATATGTCCGCTCACATCTATAATATGGAGATGTTTTTTGCCAAACATTCGCCCTGCGTAAGAACAATTAAACAATTTTAATAATCATTGATTTTTCTGTGGCTTTTGATACAATGAATCAAGGATAAATTTATCCTTGAAAAAGTTAAAGTTTTATTTTAGTTTAATTTTGATAAGAAAGTTTTAGCTGGAAAATCAATATGAAAGCGTTAAGGTTGCTCATTCTTTTGCTAACATAAGAGATAATAGGAACGATTAGTTTAGCTTTTTCAGAAATGACTTATATAACAATAGGATAACAGTAATATTCTTTAGTATTCTTATGATGCCTAAATCTTGTTTTCGCGCATGGACTTAATGAAGGCTAAGCTCGTCGGTTCGATGGAAGTTAAGATCATGGTAGCCAATATGAACAATTTATTCTTAAAATTTATTCAAAAATTAAAACCACACTTAGCGCTGAGATGGAGTGGATAGACAATAGAATATCGCTCTATTCTTTAACAACTTGGGATTCAAAGAATCAATTTTTATACATAGGTATTTGGACGATAAAAATGTTTTTTACATCTGCATAACCACAAATCATTTAACTTCAGCGACCCCAATTATTATTAGGATTGAAAAATGGAAATGGGTTCCTTTACCAATTGTTATCAAATCATTACTACCTTGCAAAGATTTATATTTAACGTCAAGGCTTTATATAACACCTAAGTATGTATGGATATTAATTAAAAAATGTTTCACTTCATCTTATTTTAAAATGCTACGCCAAATATAAAGAAACAGAACTTGATCTTATTGATGTGATAATTACATTACGTCATTTTTATTAAATATTCCCTATTCATTCAACTACTAGTCCAAATAGTTTTCCATTGTTTATACGCTATTCAAGTTGGAGATTAAGGCTTTCTCCAAACTATTTAAATCGAATCCTCGGCTATGTTAATGGTTTGCTTTGAGTGAAAGATTTCGAAAACATCACGTTTACATGAAAATATTAAAAATTAATTGTACTTCAACCGTATCATTAATAATTGTTTATAATTACGTATATTAGTATTTTCTTGTAATACCTGATAGCAAACAAAGAAATACGATTTCCATATCTGCTATATCCGCTATGAAATTTCCTACCAAGACGTGATACGTGGAAACGAGCTGCAACGTTACAAAATTTCAAAATATGTCCTCGGTTCTCTATCCACGTTTTATTTAGAATAATTTAATTCAATGATAAAGCATCAAATATGCTGACAGTTTCGTTACTCATTCGAATCCTTTTCTGTTAAATCTTCTTGTTTCACTTTGTTTGTCAATAATCTGTTTTTTTGTTTTTCGTGTCTTTTTCGATGGGCATATAAGCCGGAATACCGAGCGAATGTTTTGTCACACTCAAGACACTTAATGGTTTTATGAATTTTAGCATGGATTCTTAAAAGCATTTTCCCTTTAAAAGCCTCTTTACAGATGGTACAAACGTGAGCGAGCGGCTTTTCAGTGTGTATATTTATCTGATGTAATCTCAACTGACTAGCCCTATTAAAACATCTATTACATTTGTCACAAATAAAATTTCGTTCTTTCAAATGCTGACTACTGCGATGACTCCGTAATCCTGACGATGATGAAAAACTTTTGCCACAGGATTCGCAAACGAAAGGTCGGTCGCCAGTATGTCTTCGTTCATGACGTCTTCTTTCGGTGGTAAAATAAAAACTTTTTGAACAAAAACGGCAGTCGTAACGCCTTTCGGTCTTATGCCGTTTTTGATGAGTTTTAAGATTTGATTTCCAAGTAAAGGTAGCTTGACATTGCTGGCATTTATAAGGTTTCACTCCGTCATGCTTATATAAATGCTGGCTTAAAAGGCCAGGGGACTTGACAACTTTGCCACAACGGGGACAAATGTATGGACCACGTTTACAGGGTGGTTTCTCGTCTTTATGACGCTTCACGTGGGCATTAAGATTTGATTTCGAAACAAAGCGAATGGAACATTGATCGCATTTGTAAGGTTTAGGATTTACAACAGCTTCTTCTTTTTCATCCGGTAACGGTATATTAGATTCATGCTCACTAGCCGTTTCCCTTTCAGCGCTTTCCAAAATGCATTCCAACGAAGAAGTGGAATCTTCATTTTTATCTGATGCATATTGACTGACATTCTGTTTTGTTGCGAACATAAAATCTTCCACTTGTTCCTCTTCTTCATCACTTTCGAAAAAGAACTTTTCTACAGCTATGGATGGTTTGTAATGTTCGCTTTGAAAATGTTCTAGGAACGCATCTAGTTTCGTAAAAGTTTTCCGACAAAAAGTGCACTGGAAACTGACATTTACATTCGAAGCCGTCAAAGTATCGTAAAATATTTCTCCACATTTTTGCAAAAGCATCTCACTACTCTCCAGTTCTTCGCAATTTTCCATCTTTTATATGTTTGCTAAATGTATTTTAACATAAATTAGTTTTAAGGCTTGTTTTTATTCTCTTCTGTTACGCTTCCTACGTCCTTTCGTACATAAATGCATGACTTCTCAAATTAAGCAGGGTAAACATGTATTTAGAGGTGAACTTTCGTTCGCGACCAAGTCGATAGTTGATATACGTTATTGCTGGGATCACGTAAGCCTTATTAGTTGGGCACTCAACCATTTATAAGCAACTCTGTGCTTTGTCTTTGAACAGGGAATTTAGCGAGGACTTTGTTTAAAAATTATGAAGGTTTAATTCTAAGCGAACTTGTAAAATACAAGAAATTTTAAATGGTCGATATTAACCTTTGACACATTCAATTAGATAAAAATCTTCACACTTTCAAGCATGTATGACATTGAGAATCTATGACTAAGAATATGAAGTATATGAAGTTTAAATATCTTTTGTGAACATGCAATAAATGTATATTCGATGCGTTTTTTCTTATAAGATCTTTAATCGCATATCGTCAAAGATCGAAGGGATTAATTATATGAATATATCAAGCCTCTGATCATCTTTGATTAGCAATCAGCGGTAAATGACAATAAATTATTTTTCATTCTAACTAATTTCAAATGTAATTCCAGGCGGTTTTTAACTTTGTACTTTTTTTTTTTTACCACCGGAAATGAAACTTCCTTTTTGTAAGTTGATAGTTATTTACCGATATATTTATTAATCCTTATAACTATGGTTATTTTGGTTTAACCAGGCGCGCACGCTTACGTATATCGATTCAGAATTTGTTGATGTCTTGGCTAAATGCTCTCAGCGTTCGGCGGTGAGTATAACAAGGGGAAAATTGGCGCGCTTCCGGCGACTACCCGATACCAATATATATCGAAAGGACGTAAAACTCTTGTGTGTTCTCAGTGTTGGATTTTATTTATTATTAATACGTAAGTGCAATTAATTTACATAGAAATTAATAATATCGTAACTTTTTCGAGAGACATGTTTACTCAACTATCCATGCAGATAAGTTTGAAAATTTTTCAAAAATAAATTTACTAATATAAATAAGTAAATAAATTTATAAAAATATATTAAATTACAAATAAAAAAAGAATAATAATAATAAGTGCAAAAATAAAGAAAAACTTGTTTTACATTTTTGTTAAAATAAACGAGTTGTTCTTTGCATAATGACTTCTCCATGACAATTTGAAGAAGGATCATTTCTTAAGATATAAAAACTTAAAAGTTGTTGAAGCATTGCCTAATATTATTTATATATCAATTAAGGTAAACCGATTATTCGATAACATATAACAATACATTACTTACCTTTCACAAATTCAAACTTTTCTTGTTTTTTGGTTTTTTGAGATTAAATGGACTAAGCCAATAGAAAATGTGGCTTCAACAAATTCCGCAAAAAAAAAAAGAAAGAAAAAAACTCTCTTTCAATTTTTGTTTCTGTGACTAACTCAAGCTGTTTTGTTTCTTTCGTAAAGTTGTTTTTTTTTAAATTCCTTATTTTGGGTCAGTTTCTGGTAAGTAAGCAATTTTGTTTGGAATTTATTTTGTTTTCAATTTACAGCTGTTTTCTCTTATGAATGCAACTTTAACCAACAAAAACCATTAGATCTTTTATTTTCATAAAATTTCGCAAATATGGGAGAATGTATTTAATAGCTGTTATGGTTACGTGATACTAAGAACCGTTAGTCATCACACAATCCCGCATCACATACGCTGTCCTAAATAGTCGAAAAATATAAGTAATTTTGAGATAACTATCAGCAAGCTTTTTTTTTTTGAAAGTTGAAGAAAGAAGAAGAACGCCAGATGTTCAGCATTGCAAAATGTCGTAGGATGGAGCAAACTTCTTATCTCCCTTAATTTACATATAAATGTATATTTGTACCAAAAACCGGCATAAAGGATGAGAGTTAAAAAATCGGTTTCTTCACAAAAATGAAAATAGTCGTAAATTTAAAAGATTCATTTGACATTAATTTCAGATTCTTCACTTATGCTTTATAAAATATGCCCCCTTTAATTTAATATTTTGATTTGTTGAAGAAAGATAGAAATTTACTAAGCACAGTGCAGAGCCCCCATCCATTGATTAGTATGAACCCTTTCTCTCTTTTTGTTATTGAGCCGCTACACAGAACATTTTGCCTGCTTTGTTGTCGCTGCACAACATAGCAACTTCAGAAAAAAAAAAAGAATTTAAGACTTATTTCATATAGCGGACAACCGTGAATCCAGCATTCTTTTGCTTATGCCCTTAAGAAGAAAAAATAAAGGCAAACGAACGCGAATAAAAAATCGATCATGTGAGATCGGCGACTGTAAGGACAAAGAGGAGCGGAAAGTCAATTTCATCCATTGTACCACTTAACAAAACATAGCTGGCACTGCATTATTGAAGCAAACATTGAAATACCTTTGAAGAGCGTTTTTCTGGGACCAAAAGGCTATTTTAATTGTTTCTGGTAAGTTCACAATAATTAATAATATAATTAAATAGCAGTTTTTAATACCATTACAATGATGCGAATTTGGAAGAAAACGCTACTTTAAAAAGTGAGTAAAGGAGGTAGATTATATCACCACTAGACAAAGTAAACAATGCTAGTAGAAGTGTCTTGCATTTTCTTGACACGTTAAAAACGTTATTTTAATTTTAATATCAATCGTAAACTTTATATTCACATGAGTTTATTTAAATGGATAAATAAAATTAAAATGTACAATGTAAACAAGTAAGAAAATTATATTCGGTCGTGACCGAATCTTTCATATCCATTACTGTCATCCTAATGAAGCTAAATGAAACAAAACAAGTAAAAGAGCTAAATTTACATGCTCTATAATAAGGAGTGATTCGGATGATTTCTTCATATTCATAATAAAGTTTTTGTTAGGTACGCCCTTGAAAAGGTTAAGTTATTTTCAAATTCTTTTGCAAATTTGTTAAATTTGAAAATTCGCAAAAATTTTTGAAACTTGCCTCTGCGCGTTATAAAGTTCGCCGAAATTTGAAGTTGATAGCCTCATTTTTGCGGCCAGGAGAGGGGTTAAAACAGACGTTACACAATCGGACAGATGGACATACTACAATTGAATCAGAATTTTATGCTGAACTACCGTTTAACAATTTTGTTGTCTAAATATTGGCTAGCGCGCAGTATATTGTTTTTGTAATCATATAATTTGTTTCATTCCATTTCGTTTACTTAGGCTGGCAACATTATTACTCATTGTTTGATAGATTATTATATATATTAAGGTATAAGATTTTAAGGCATCTATAGCAGAAAAAATCGCAAAAAAAAAAACAAAAAGCGAATGAAAGTCGATTACTACGTGTTCTTCTTACTTTTTTTTATTTAAAATTATAAACATTTACATTAGATTGTAATTTTTTGTTTTTATATTTATTAAAGATTTATATTAATATGCATGTTTGTTGTGTGTGTATGTGTTACTCTACATAAAAAGTAACAGTAAATTTTGCTTTTCATTTTTTCATAATTTCATTTTGTAATCATAAGGCCGGGTTAGAGATGTTAACAGCAATCATTCAAATTAACTGTTATACCCTTTTTTGAACCTTTTACATTTCTTTTTCCTTTTTTTTTTTTACATATAAGTTAATTTGCTATTTTATTACATAATTACCAAATACATTTAAAAAGACGATGTTATATGATGTTAAAAATAGTGCTTAAGAAAAAAATGTGGGAATTAATTTTTTTTAAATTACTTTCATTTTTTGTTTTTTGTATTCTTTTTTTTCATGTCAGCTTGAAGTAGGAAGTGTGCAATTAGTTAGGAAAAGAAAGAAAGTGAGGCTAACATAGATTATTAAATATGTGATTAATGTGTGAGGAATAGAAAGTTTATTGTTTATAGGCGAGAGTGAGAGTGAGATAAGATATAGGAAGATAGAGAGGGAGAAAATGAGAATGACATTATAAGAAATACAGGTTTTCTTAAGGCAGTTTTAAATGAAATTTTATCTTTGGAAATAAAACAAAAAAGAGAAATAAAAATTTGAATTTAAGAAATTATATAAGCATCTCAAATGAATACTTCTTTTTCTAAACAATAATTTTCATTCTAGTTTTATATCGAGTGGATGGCAATTATTTTGTTTTCTTCTCTGCTTTAATTTTTAGGTCTTTTTCAAAATAAAAAAAAGAAATATATATATATATATATATATATATATATATAGGGCGAGTGGGCGGGCGTTTTTATATATTCCAGCAATTTATGGAAAGTATATTGAAAAACAAAAAGTTCAAAGAAAACAAAAGTACTTATGTCAAAAAACTAATGCTAGAACAAATGTTGTCACAGGCCGATGTAGTTTTATTTATATTATTAGCTAACACGTTGAATATAAATCATATTCACTTTCTTACCGATTATTAAACGAGATGCAGCAAACCATTTGTCTTTAAAACATATCTCACTAATTTTAGATCATATATGAACAGGAAATCACTAATTTCATTAGCACGTGCTCAGTCACGTTCGCCGATATCAGTGCGCGCTAAAATTCATTTGCAACGATAAAGGTACACGCATGGTTGAATACAAATTTTCTCTTATGAATACATAGGAAAAGGGTTTGAATAAAGACTTTTTAAATTTGAATGACATATGAATTTTAGCATAAAAATGGATGTATGCTCTCTCGCAAGCACATAAATCCATAATAGATCAGAGTTTAAAATTTGATAAACTTCCTTGGATCACACAATTCAATTGAGCGGAAAATATTCTATTTAGATCAATTGAAACTCATCCAATTAACAAAATACTTAATAATTTTTATGTATTTGCTCAATGGGATAGTGATGAACGTGGCCAAAAATCGGTCTTTAAAATTGAAATTTCTGCGTCTTCTACTTCTTCTGTTGCTTCTTCTTGTAAAAAGTGTTCTAACTCGTATTGAAAAAGTTTCCTACAAGTACTAACTAACAGGAAAGTCAAGAAAGCATTGAGCTCTCTTAGAGAGTGTATCATCATATCAAACTGTTGATAACAACTGGTTTTGGGGTGGGAGGGCAACATCTTCAAATGCCGATACCTTATGATTATATTTGTGGTGCACAGAAGCTGAACATTCAGGAATAAGTATTTTTCGATATTTATGTTAAATTTCATAGAGACAACGTTTTTGCAAATTCACCGGAAGAATATTGAACGATGTCCGGCTGTAAGATAAATATAAGCTTTTTTTTGTATACAAGACCAATCCAGTATAGACGGAATCGAATCGAAGCTTGCGGTTATGCAATCATCCTTACCTTACACGTAGCATACGTAAGCAAGATTCCAAAAAATTTCTTTTAGCTCTTCTACTGCGAATAGTCAACCGGCATGTGAAGACCGCAAAATCGAACATAAAATAAATGCTTTGCCTGATTTAGTAATGTAGCATGCAATAAAAATCCATAAATTTGTATATATTTGTACTTGTCGAGATTTCTTATAGGATCCTCGGCGCAGATACAAGAGGCTATAAATATATCTATTCCACTGAGCCTCTTAACCCCTCCCCTTACATGTGTAACATTTTGTCCTTATTATTAAAAATTTTGAGACGACTATTATTATAAAATATTATGACCTTACGTATATGCATATATACGTTCCGACACAAAAAACTAATGAAAAACCTAGGCACACCTTCTAAAGGCTATCCGAAATTGGCAGATGCACACCAAGAAAGATCATAAAATTCATCTAAGAGACAAACAAAGTAAACCATTACAGATTTGTTGTTGTGCAAGTATATTTTCACTTTTTATAATAACATTCAAAAGCTCACACAATTAGTTTGTACTGTAATTGCCATTGAACCTTGAACCTCCTTTCGCAGTTATCGTAGTTATCGGCATATTTCCTTGCTTGCTTGGTGCAAATTTAGAAAAATGTTGGAAAGATTCTCGGGTAATGGCAGAATCGTTTTACGATTTTTTTCAAAATATATAGCGTACTTTTAGGGGTACTTTCTAGATCTTACATATGGAAGAAGAAGAATTATCAAAAGATAAAATTTTTAAATGCTGTTAATAAAATTCTGATAAGAATTTGTGTTTACGAACTGATAGGAACGTGATAGTCGCCTAATCCTGTTCAAAATATATGACAAGACGAAATTAGTTTATATTTAGATTTATCGGAGTGAACTGTAACGTGGATATATATATATATATATATATATATATACATGCCTATACATCTTTTATCTGTTATTTGCAAAATTGCTAAACAAGTCGTTCTTCAAAGCATCAAATCAAAGTCGTCCGGTCGGTATGCAAGAAACCACTTTTCCACATTTCGATCTCTTTTGAATTGATTTGATTCATTCAATCCTTCCGTTGTATTTGAGATACGATGAGATTCTGATGAAGCTGCAAACAAATTGAGCAGTGTGTGCCGCACACTACTTATAGTCTTTTCTCCATGGTTGGGGGGCATATACAAAAAAGGGAAAGGAGCATAAAGTGTCGCCCGAAAGGATCTTGAAAATTTTTGTACGTTCTACTCTGTCTTCGATACATACACGTATATAAAAAGTAGAGTGTGTTTATGTTCTCTTCGATTTTAAATAAATATATTATTAAAGGCTTTTTAAACACATTTAAATATTTTTTCCTAGGAATCGGGAGAATTAATAAAAAAAATCCCTTTCTCAAATACTTTCTTTCTAATACTTTCTTTCTATGTAGCGTAAAGAATTCAAAAATTTCCATGATGGATTCTTTTTGTCTGCTTTTTTGTTGTTTTTGTTTGCGTTTTTTTTTTTTTTTTAATATTCTCCCAATTGTTTTATTATTCGAATTTTCTTTTTTTTCCTTTTTTGTGTACAAATTTTTTATTTTCAATTTCATAATAAGTTTTCAGTTTTTTGTGTGTTTTGCGCGACTGCAATTAATTTATGTTAATAATATTTGAAATAAATTTCGAAATTTTCAAATTTTGGTTCTTTATTTTTATTTCACTGAAGAAGACAAAAAAAAAAGAAAAAAATATAATTAGAGAGAGAGACAGAGAGAGAGCGAGAGAGAGAGAGAGAGAGGGAAAGAAAGGAAGAAAGAAAGAAAGAAAGAAAGAAAGAAAGAGAGAGAGAGAGAGAGAGAGAGAAAAGGTTTACAATAAATTTCAAGCAAAAAAAAAAAAAAAAACAAAAAATAGAATTCATGTATATGGCCATTGTGTATATATATATATATGTATATATATATACATTATTATATATAAATATATTAGGTATATTTTTAAGAAGTCTGTTCGAATTACAATAACACAACAGGATAACTAATAGTACAGATCGAAAGAAACGGGCCATTTATAAAAAACTTTTCTTTTTCTATAAATAATGAATTATTTCAAAAGTGTTTGTGTGTAAGCGCTTAGATGATTTGGAGAGATATTCAAAAAAAAAAAAAAAAAAAACAACGCTCTTTTTAGAAATTTGTTCAAATGCCAAATACACGCAAACACATTTTTACGAAGGCAAAGAAGAGAGAGAGAGAGAGAGAGAGAGACATCTAGAAACTCGTTTACAAAAGAAAAAATTATTGAAAAAGAAAAAAAATTATATTAAAAAGAAAAAACTTCTCAAGCGTTACACATACATTCATGAATATTTATGTTTCTATATACTTCTCTTTCTTCTTCTTCCTTTTTTGTTTTTAGCTTTTTAGGTTACACAGTTTTTTGTTTTTGTTTTCTGTTTTTTCGATCGTATTTCACTGGCTCTTATTTGACGGAAAATTTATTTTTTTTTTTTGTTTAATTTTTTTTGTTATTCAAGTAAGCAGTGTCCATATGTGAGTGTGTGACTGAGGAAAAGTGATCTTGAATTTGTCCATGTTGTTGTTTTGTTTTGTTTTTTTTTTTTTTGTTTTTGTTCTTTTGTTTTGTTTATTTAGTGTTTTTTTTTTTTTTTTTAGGTTATGGTTTTGTTGTTGTTGTTATTTATGTCGTTTTCATATTATTATTATTATTATGTTTAATTGTTATGATTATTATTTAACCGCTCTTAAATAATAAAATTGCCACTTGGCCTAAATAGAAGTAAATAAAATGACGTGTTTCGTGTGTGACATAGGATCCAAAATTTCTGCCCACAATACAGTGCCATGTTGGATTGTATTTTTTATCGAATTCTTTCTTAATAAAGGCAGCAATATCCTGAAAAAAAGAAACAGAAAAGAAAGAAGAATTTATTTATATATTATTTAATTTAAATAGATAGTTTTTTGTCTCTACGTGTATTGCACACACACAAACACACACACACACACGCACTATTCAATATATATCATATGACGAAAGTGAGTAAATATTCAAAGTCTCAATCAACCATCAGCAGGAAAGAGAAATATACAATTACAAAGTTTGTATTTAGAGAACCACCGTCGGTTAGTCTCTGCCTGCCCTTAATTTATTGGATCGCAGAATTCATTCATATAATATTCCAAGCGAAAGTCGATATGATCATCGATTACCCTAGCTGAAGGTCGCAAACGCTTAACTAAAACCTGTTACTAATATATTGTTGTTACGGATGAGTTCATGGTGTATTGAGTTTGTACGCGGACGGGTTTGTAAACGTCAATCTGTCCCTGTCACAATTTTCGATATACTTTACTAAAGTTTGATACCCGACAACGAAAATTTATCTAAAATTTGATTTGTGTGAGAACAGCAGTAGCAGTCAGCAATTGCCTATGCAAGCATGTTTGTGTATGCTTGCAATTTTTGAGAAGAAATAAGTAACGGGAGTAATTTATATTCAAAGTAAATTCTCGAATTAAACGAAAAATGTTCGGTCGATACAAACAACAACTCATTCCTCCCCAAGACTTGAAAAAATGGAACTTATACTTCCAATCGGATCTATGACGAATAAAATCTATGTATATCGATCGACCCTAATGCATAGAATTCTCTTCTGATATTTTTTTTTTCGTCGTTTTCTTCCGTTTTTTTTTTTTTTCTTCAAAGGCCAACTCATCTATGTTGTGTACAAAAGATAATACCAGCTCCAAAAACATGTAGCCGATCCATCACGACTTCAAAGGCAAGCCACACAACACCATTACAATTGATGGCATGTCTCTCTCTCTCCCTGTCTATATCTCTATGAAGGAACGAAGTTCCTTAAACTTTTACATAAGAAAGCATATGTGAAAATTTGTCTAAACCTAAATAACTTCTTCCCTTACGTAATCGCATTCGCGGTTAACTTTGAATGTTTACATTTTTTTTTGTTTTCTTTCACATTCTCTAACTGTAATTCGGACTTCTTCTCGATTTTCAGAATGAAAATTATTTCCTATTCGGATATAATCAGAAGATAACTTGATGTTAAATTATTTAAATGGGGTAGGTGGCGAGGTGATGGCTTATCAAGTTGTTTCGTCGCATTTTCAAACTTAGATGGCAAGATATAAAATAACTTGAGTTCCACTCTTCATTTTTATACACATCCGATATCCAACGCTAAATTTTACCTTAAATCAAGCAATTATTGAAGTTACCATATATATGCTCTTGTCAAGCTTTACGCTCAATCACAATCTCATAAGTAATACCGCTAAAGTGCTTATTATAAATAAATCGAATTCTGTGGCGCACATAAATTCAAAGGTAGGAAGTATTACTTTCTTCCTGCTGAAACCAAAAAGAGAGAAGAATGCGAACTTTCATGATAGGTTAACTTTTGCTTATGACGATGATTGCTCGGCCACATGCTACAAAATCCGTTTCGGAATGTTCTCCCTACCATTCCTAGGTATACCACACCCCACTCGATGTAATTACCACTAGTTATAATAATATATTTTATTTTATTGTTCTTCCAAAAAGGTATTCCATTCTTGTGACGTTGCCAAAAAAAAAAATGAATGGACCATTGCTTTTAGAAATTGCATTGTATATAATAGATTTGATATTTTTTCGCGATAGATAATACTACAACAATAGTACAACATCATTTTATCATTCTCTTAAAATCAACACGCGCACACATTTCATTTGAACACCAAATACATACACGTCTCTAATGCGTACTTCCGGATGTTGCAAATGCAATGACATAACTTTAGTACAGAACTCACACACACATATACACACACACACAGAGAGAGAGAGAGAGAGAGAGAGAGAGAGAGAGAGAACGCACACATACACGCATACATCTCGTCTCGTCTGGTCGACGAGATGAGCCGCATCTACGAACGGCCTCACAGCAGCGAGCCCTATTCACGCGCTATAAGAAGCGAGGAACGGATGGCCTCGTTGATGCTATGACAGTCGAGGTGGGAAAGAACGACCAAAGGAAGACAGACGTTCGTTCTTATCCCTAGCATAGGACGCTGGGTTGAAAGACGCCACGGCGATGTAAACTATTACCTCATCCAGTTCCTGACTGGCCGTGGTTGCTTTCGGAAGTATCTACACAAATTCAATATGAGCGGATGCGGAAGAAGTCGCAGAGCACGTAATATTCTACTGCAGTAGATTTGAGAACGGGCCATCAAGTGCCATCTAACGAAATTATGAACGTATTGATCGGCAGTGCAGTAGCTTGGAACACCCTAGACGCTAGCGATACACTCGTAGAGTTACGACGACTGGAGAAACAACAGGCGGAGAGAAGAGGCGACGGAGACCAATAAGGGACTTCACTAAGTAATACCTAATGGTGGTCCCGCGCAGGAGAGTGGTAGATGAGGTGAGTGCGGGGGTAGATTTAGTACGTAGGCGCCATGGATGGTGAATTGTGCATGCTACTGGCACGGGCCGGTAGTATCTATGAGGAGGATTCCTACCTCCAGCTCGCATAGCAAAAAAAAAAACAAAAAAAAACACGCACACGCACACACATACACAGAATACGGAACACAGAACGCGCACAGAGAACAAAAAACGCACACAGAACACACACACATATGCCGAGAGCGCGTAGATATACAAATATGTAGCAATTATTAACTCGACTAGAGTATAGGGAGAGGAAGAGCGTGAAAAAAAAGAAATGGAAATGAAGGCAAGGGGCGAGAAAGAAAGAGATCGGAAGCTCTTTTGTGGCAGACCACTGAAAACTAACACACATTTTACTTAGAACATAAGCATATTTAAAATAAAAAAAAAATTTGTTTCGCTTTTTTTGCCACACAAAATCTTTAAACGCAGCAATCTTCTCGTTTAACGAGTAGATATGAAACATAGAAGCACTAATTGAATACAAGAACAAAAATCTAATATATTTGTGTTAAAATGAAATGTAATTTATATAAATATGAAGAATATAGCAGCACAAGGTGAACAACTATCCGGTGCACTACTATATAGGAAACGAGAAGTTGAACATAATAAAAACCAAATATGAAATGAATATGAAACAACTTTTTAATACTAAATAAGTAAAAATTATTCAACACAAAGGCGGCCATTAATGTTAATAAAAATTATGTCAAGGCGGATTTTGCCACTGAAGGTTTTATTGCTAGAGGATTTGCATCAATCAATTATTGCGATGATTGACGAAAATGCAAAAAAATCATCCCAAAAGTATGCTACGCTGTAATCATGCCCTTGCACACAACAAACCTATCCCCCCTGTACTAATAATGTTCATAATACGTTACGTTACATTATGTTAAACTAGTTTCAGCCCTTCAATCAATTATGATAGGCGTCCTCTGTGTCACATAGACAACAATACACTCGTCTCCCACTACACATTAAAATGCATTTTTATTTTTCGCTCACTTTAAGACCAATGTTTTTTTAAATTAAGATAATAAATTATTGCTTGCACCTTTTTTTTGCAAAGTAATTACAGCTAGAACCGACTGTTATGCTAGTTATCCATGGTTCAGAAATAGCATCTACTAAACTACTAATGGCATCCTAAATATATAAGGCAATGGATCGAAAGGCCACACGGTACTTGTTCAGGTTCGGGCACAACAACTCGCCAAATTGTCCGGCATGCTCGGAAACGAGCGAAGATGCAAAGCAGTATTTGTAGTACTCGAAGCTTTAAATAAAAACAAACATAAAAGGAAAATAGCATATGTCCAGGCATGGGATTGTGGCAAATGCCCAGCTTTCATAAGATTGCAAAGCTACAAACACATCATTGTTATATTAAAATATCTAATCTGTGTCATATATCGACTTGTCATTAGCCATTCGTGATCAATTTGACATAAAACTTTTATGTTGTTTATGTTAATCTTAAGTTATTATTGAAAGCAAAATTTGCAATTTTTTTTAACTATATATATGTTGTGTAGATCAGTCAAACCTTACTTTTGTTGTGCGCACACATTTCGAAATATTAGAAAAGCATTGAAATGATTTTAAATCCAATCTTGAAGAAGACTTTGTTTTGATGAAGAAAAAAAAAAACCGGGAATTATTAATTGAAGCACTGGTAGTTAGTTCCTATATATCAGTTGCTCAAAAAAAGAAACCTTTCCAAAGTTGCTTTTTAATTGTTTTCTTTTTAGATGATGCCCTACAACAGCTGTAGCGCGCTTGAAGTATAATAAAAGTTCATATTTCGTAGATTACTAATCGTGAGAGAGAGAGAGAGAGAGAGAGAGAGAGAGA